CATGTCAAACAGCAGAAATTTGCCTGATGAACTTTCTGCACTGCTCAGTTGAGACTGATTCTCACTCTGTTAAACAGAATGGATTTTAATTATCCTAAAGATCTCAAGAATTATATCAAGGAAGTAAGTGGATAGACAAGAAAACTTCTGATAATTTCTATTCTGCTGCCAATGGATAATGTGGGATAGTAGATTTCAAGCATCTAATGTGCAAATAAACTGAGACTATAAACATATAAGTTACTGGAAACTCATTCCATGTACAAGCATGTTAACAACATTCATGGAGACCTCAGAACACTGATGCAGTTGCATGGTGGACTGCATCAGTTGTGATGCATATGTATTTTTGTCATTATGATGAAGAAAGAAGTATTATATTTTTCAGTGGGATTTATTATTTAGTATTTTTTCCTGAAAATTTATTAATCAGATCCCCTCTCAGCCTTCTCTTCTCCTGTTCAGCTTGGAGAAGAGAAGGCTGAGAGGCGATATGATTAACGTGTATAAGTACCTGAGGGGAGAATGTAGGGAGGAAGGGGCCAAACTCTTCTCAGTGGTGGCCAGGGACAGGACAAGGGGAAATGGGTATAAGTTGAAAAACAGGAAGTTCCATCTYCATGTGAGGAGGAACTTGTTTCCTGTGAGGGTGACAGAGCCCTGGAAGAGGCTGCCCAGAGAGATTGTGGAGTCTCCTTCTCTGGAGGTCTTCAAAACCCGCCTGGACGCCACCCTGTGCCCCATGCTGGAGCAGGAAGGTTAGACTAGATGATCTGTAGASGTCCCTTCCCACCTTGAACATTCTGTGATTCTGTGTGATTCTGTGAAATTTATTCCAGTCCTTTTATACTGCTTATCTATATCTTAGATTAAAACCATGGTCTTCTACAGAGAAACCTGATGGGTAAGGCTGGTATCTTAGTGAAAGCTCTGACACCAACACTGACTCTTTACTCTTTTTCTCCAAGGAAGCACCTCCATTTTTCCCTTTATTCTCAGGATCTGTGCTACTGTTGATGAGGCAACAGCACATGAAGAAATGCCCTCCCTCTATGGGATGCAGGCGTGAATGGCAAGCCAACCTTTCAGTGCAACGTAACACTAAGCAATTAAGCTACTGAATTCAGTCCTTGGATATTTCTAACAATGACATGAAAATGTAACTTTATGTTAAAATAAAAGAAAACACAGACAGCACAAAATTAAAAAAAAAAAAAAAAAAAAGGAAGAAAAAAACCTGGGGAAATAAGATAATGATTTACAAATATCTAAAAAGAAATAATAATAATAAAAAAATCCATCTCTGTATAATACAATAAAGTAAACTTTCTCACTAAGAAGAGGATAGAGTGCACCTCTCATTGTAGTACATTTGTAGATATCATTTATGGCTTGCGATATCATTTTCAGCCCTGGATATCTCTCCAAGGCATAAAATTATTGCTGCTATGTTTAAACTATAGCAAACAAAAAGATTGCTCAGTTATCTGAATATGCACTGTGAATACTATGTGCTATTTCATGTGGAACAAAAAGGAATTTGGGAGTTACCTGACAGAGGTAATCAAAACTATTAATTCTTATAATACTTGTAAGAAGTAGGGCAAACTCTGACTGTGCTAACTAGTGACAGGGTTAAAGTCTCAGCGACATAATAAAAAAGAAAAGAGAGATAAACAAAATAAATTTAGCTAAAACCATTCTATTGAAAGAGCAGAAGGCATATAGAAGAAGCTGCTTAGTAATACAGCTGAATCAGATAGCATAAGTAAGCTTAAGAGACAGCTAGATATTTTTTATGCATAAAGTGGATTGAAATTTACAGCTGAAGGATATATGGTTGAGATAACTAAAAGGGGACATACTTATTTTAACACAAGACTTACTGTCCCAATAGCTTTTCAAATCTCTTCTCTGCCTCCCCAGACCCCAGTCTGTTCTTTCCAYCAAATGCAACTATGGAGTTTTCATTAGCATTTTACAGACGTAGTTGATTTACAATCTTTCCCTTTTGTGTTAGTGTTTAAGACCAGGACCAGACAAAACTTGCTATCTGGAGGTTTCTTTCTTTCAACTAAAGCTTTTAATAATAGACTTATTGTAGTAGCAGAAGCTTCATTCTGCAGTTTTTACTGTTTTAATGCAAATCATAAAATGGATTTGGTCCTTACAGAGAGAAATCAGATGTCTTGTCTACAAGAAATTCTTTTAAAAAAATCCTGCTTTTTGGTTGCTGGTGCAGCTGCTGCAGTGCTACAGACAGAATTTTTGACTATCACTTAATTTTCAAGTTGTCTAGACTCAAGTTGCTTAAAACTGTAGTTTAAATAATGCTAGCATTCTTATTACTGCCATGGATAGAACTGGACTGTGAAAATAGTTTGGAATTAGATACAGAAAATTTCATACTCAGACTAAACTCACTTTTTAATTTAGGAAGCTGAACTCAAGATCCTGGCTCTACAGCTACATCCTGATCATTTTTCAAAAATATCAGAAGATTTTCTGTCCTCTCCTAACTATCACCTTTCTAACAACAAAAGTTGCAGTACTTTAAATAGCATTCAAAAACAATGAACCACCCTGAAAATTTGGCACAAAATAATGAGTCCTGTCTGACATGAAGCAGATGATGACAGAATTGGAACTTTTGATTTTGCTTCAAGCCCTGCTACAGACTATAGTTTCTGGCAAGCTTTCCATCTCCTTTTTTTGAAATTATTTTTTCTCTAAGAAAATGCAATCCTGTACCTATCCTAATCACGCACCTTGTTTCTAAACCTCCCTCAGCCTGACTCATGATCAGAGAAAGCAATTTTGTTTATCTGCTTTTAAAGGAGAAAAGTTACATCAGGCTTCAGTTCCCTAATCAGACAAGCAATTGCTGATTTCACTGGGAACACCACATTGCACCACATTCATCATTGCAACGATCTGTAACCCCAGAAGGTCTTTATTGCAGGTTCAGTATTCATAATACATGAATGGTCTTCCCACACACTTGAAATGGAAGAATTCAGAAAACTAAACAAATGGATATCATTACCATTTGTGATTTCATTTGGGGAAAAAAAAGGAAAAAAAAAAAAAGATTATCCTTATACACTAAATTATTGTATTTTTTCACTAAGAAAAAGCATATAAGAACCTGATGCTGCAGTTCATTGACAGTATTTAACATTCACAGCTCAATATCTGTATAATAACAATCTGAGGAATTAATATAAGCCAATTGCATCTGTTGTTTTTTGATGAATAGGACACCTCATCCGAATATGATGACAAGTGCAAACCTCCAAATAGCTCTTTGCATTATAACAAAAATATAATGGGAAAAAAAAAAAGAAAAAAAGAAAAAAAAAAGAAAAACAGGAATGGTTGACTTGATCTGCCTACTAAAGTTTTCATATTTTGACCAGGAGCAGGCATGACGCCATTGCACAATCTGCAATACTATGAACTCCAGCTACAATACTATGAACCCTGAATGAATGAAAAGTCTACAGGTCTTTTCTATTAAAAAAAAAGAAAAATCTGTTTCATTTGAAGTACTAAAAAATTGTCCTAATCCAACTTTAAAATTTTAAAATTCTTTGCTTTTTATACAAGCATGTAGCAATCCAGAGATTTTGGTTTTTTTTTTTCTGATACTAAACCGAGAAACTTATATCCATAGACAGTTACTAAAAAGCAACAACAACAACAACAACAAAGTTTAGTATAGCATCTTTATACAGATCAATGTCCAATTAGAAGCAAAGTGTGGCTGTGGTAAAAGGTCAGGAAAAAATAATCTTTCTGGCATTTATGAGTTTGAAAACAACTCATGTGAGGTCAACTCTCCAATATATACAGAATAAATTAATGCTGCAGCATTCTAAACATTCTGTCTAGAAAAAAAGAAAAATTCAATTGCAACTTGATCAGAAATATGAAATAGAGCATGTATTTCCTGATGATTGCACTACCGACCAGACCAAGCTAGAGGTAAAATCTAGTTCAACTAATCAACAATTAATAGAAACCTTACGAAGTATTTCTGCTCGATTATAAACATAAATTTTCATTAAATCTGACTGACTTACTCATTTTTTTCAATGTCTTTAACATTGAATCATCTCCCATGCAGCAATTGAAAATAATAGCAAATACACAAAACAAAAATAATTCAGTGGTGCACTTCCTTATGGCTTGCAGTCTGGAAACAAACAAGCAAACAAAACAAAAAAAGATCACCCATGCAATGCTAGAGTGTTTGGTTTATATCTAGCTTTTAAGAAATGTACTTTTTTTGAAATAAAAGATCTCATAATTAACACATCTAGAAAACAAAAAGAATTGGACACAGACTTTGAGGAAATAAACATGCTTATTTGATAGAATGAATGACTGTAGAGARTGTTGCCATTCACGTAAGCCATTTAACTATTTTACAGATGATTATTTCTGATTCCTTCATAAGGTGTGAATGAAATTATACTGAAAATCAGATTACACTATTATTTGACACTTCTCATATTACCATTAATCATGAAATCAACTTTACAAATTGCTGTGAAATGAAAACATCTCCTGTCCATTTTTACTGTTGCCTGATATCCCAAGTGTTGTGCCTTTTTCTTGTCTCCAAATTGTATAAAGAAAAAAACAGCATCCTGTCTAGTTCGAGTTTTCCAATCCAACTTTGGCAGAAAGACTATATAATATATAACAGGCCAAGACAGTGAAATTTAAGTATATTACAATCATTTTACAAAAGTGTTATTTTTTGGATTTAAAAAAAAAAAAAAAAGATACTTGCACTTTCATTTCATTTTTCCCTCTATTTTTCTGAAAGATACTGAACATTCTTTGCTCTGGGCTAGCTGCAAGATTTACTGTTTTCTCTGATAGTATTATCAGAGGGCTTTTCTGCCCTGATAAACTACCACTGCAATACTAATAGGTTTATAATGATTGCTTAAACTTTACACTCTGCAAGCATGGGAGGCTTCACTCACCTTGTTCAAGTGGCTGGCTTTTAGTTGAAGCAGTTTTCATCTTGAGTGCCTCCCTAACAGACATGTCACAGCAGGAGCCTTTGTTAGTGTCTTGGTCACTGTCAGCCTGATCACTGTCCCCATGCCCGCTGTCCCTCAAGCTGGCTCTTTCTGGATCCTTGAACGTGGAGCTACTGAAATACATATATAAAAAAAAAAAGAGAGAGAGAGAGAGAAAGAGAAAAAAGAAAGATAGAGTTGTATTTACTTGTTCTAAGTTGAATTGTACTCTCTGGCAAAGCAATTTTGACAAGAATGCAAATGGGGAAGCTGAGAAAGTTATTTAATAGGCCTTACCTTTGAACAAACTGCTGCCTGCTGCCCATGTAATTGGGCTCTGCGGGAAAATTGTCTGTCTGTGAAAGAGAAGGAAAAAAATACGTATAGTTGTACACTGGACAAATCTCCTGCAGAGCAACAAGATTTCCTAGAGGAGAAATGATTAATAATTCAAAAATTCCCTTAATCTTCAGATTTGTACATTTTAATTAAATTGGAAAATGCTGGCATGTAATTATGTGCTCAGAACAATTAAATGATTCCGGTCCACAAATTACCTGCTAAAGTAAACAATGAGGCTCCAGTAAGTGGCATTCTCTGTTAGCAACCTGACAGATGACACTGTTTATGTTTTTTCATTAGTTAGATATTAAGACTGATGGTTATTGAAAATGAGAGAAAAAAATACTTTTGCATATTACAAAAGTGAATTATTCAATAATACTAATTTTTAATCATAATTACATCATCTGCTGGGATTCTGAGGCTTACTGCTGTAATGCAATTTCATATATTGCTATATTATTTTTGAAACACAAAAACAACAACAAAATTAAGAATGCCTGTGGTTTACAAGCTCTTTTTTTTTTAACACTACTGGAAAAGCGTTATTTTGTTTAAAAAATCTTTTTTTCTCTCTTTGATTTTCATCAGTATTAATAGCTGTATCTGAGCAATACGAACCACATGCAAACAAGAACAATTAAATGATTGTTGTAGACAAGTAGTTTTTAAAAGAAGATAGTTCTATTAAGTCTGCCGTGAGTATATTTTTAGCTGCATGAGCTAAGTAACTGTAGAAGCAGAAGTATTTACAGCATCCAGCCCAACATGGAGTTCTGCCAAGGGGAACTGAATTCCCCTTGTGTCATCAGCTAAAGTTCTTTGGGAGAAAGAGAGAGACTGAATCTTTCACAAAACTCCATATACTGTACATTCATACACGTCACTTCTTGCAGCTGACCTAGCGACAGAGCTCCTACTGTTTTCTGCATCACTTCATATCACGCCATTATGCTTTGCAGAGGCTCTGAGTTTTGCAATGGCACCTAATGTATAAGTAGCACTCAATTAATGGAGCAGAAGGTCCAAGATAAGGTTTACTGTTGCACAACAAGTGTTTATATAAATGTATAGTCTTTTTTTTTTTCCCCTCTGCTCCCATCTTCATTCTTTACCTCTCTTTTTTCTTTTTCTTTTTTTTTTTCTTCTAATAGGTGGCTACATGCCAATCTTAATTAACATTCTATATTAACATATATGCAAAGCAGAGTTGTTTGAATACCATGGATAACCTGCGTAYTATAGGGAAGGGTCAGACGATAAATGATTATCTTATATTCCGCAATTATGGAGCAAATTTACATGGGTTTTATTCCTACTGCTGGTTAAATCTTTCGAAACAAAGTTAGAATCATAACACACTTTCTGTTACACGCATTTTGAAGTAGTTCCTAATTTAAGCTGTGGAGTTCACATCATTCAC